AACTTCGGTTTCTAATGCGTTGATTTCAACGTCATATTGCCATGATCAATATATGGAGAGAGAGAAACGGATAATGTGTTATAAATCATAATCTCGTAAGATTGAAATAAAAAACATCCTAATTCTATTTTGATAAATGTTTGCACGGGCTGTATGTATGTAAATACGTATACAAGGAGGTCTATGTATGTAATTTTCCCAAATAACTTCAGCCAAAACACACGCATTGACCCGAGTCCAATTGCCCGAGCCCAAATAACTTCAAAACGCCTGGGTTAGATCTAGCTCGTAAAATGAGTGGGGACCTAATTGTTTTTAAGGACATATATAATACATGATAACAAAACTATAAATAAAAAACATACATATTCATAGTTATTTTTATGAATTTTCATTGTTCAGTGGACACTTTCTAAAAATATTCATCCATATGTTCATATAAAAAATAATATATAATGTGTAAAATGATCTATCTATTACATCAAGTTTTAAGAGCCCTATAATTTAATTTTTCACATTAAATAATTAAGAAACAACAATTAGCTATAAGAATGCTAAAAGATGAATGAATGTTTAATTCTTTTTACTCGAAACTTAGATTTATTATCATCAAAATTAATAACAATAAGAATTTCTTTCCCCATTACAAAAACAAGCTGCCAGCCTGACCTTAAAGAATCTTCCAATTGGGCCTTGAGTTTAAGAATGACTACACCCTTTTACGTAGACGAATCCGGGACGCATGTGTAGTGATGAATTCCACAGGCTCAGGCCCCTTTATGTTATATACCCACAAGAATCAGAAAGAATTTAGCATCGAGCCATGGCCACTTGATCCACAGGCACCCGAAACTTCGGTAGCACAGAGCTTTTGCACAAAGAAATCCCAAGACACACAAAGCCCATGTTTTTCTAATTGCTAGGTTCTCTCATCTCTCTCCACTCTGATTCTTTTTTTTTTTTTTTTTTCCTATTTCTCCGATTTTTTATTTTCTCACATACACAAGCACACACAGTGCACATTTTTCTTATTCTCTGTTCAAGGCCCTCACGCACACAAAGCACACACAACACTTTTGTTTTATTTCCACACACACACACCACACAAGAGCATGATTTTAGTGTTTTTAAAAGTTGTAAAGAAGTAGGGAGAAATAAGGAGGAATCGAGCTAGGTGATTTTGGAGGAATACATAAAAAACAAGATAATTAATCTCACAAAGGGTTTTAGATGGAGAGATCCGGGGAAAATTTTTGTCTATGCTTACCACATTTGTCTATTTTCTGTCTATTTGGTTGGTTTAGATGTGTCCGAACATTTGAATCTTTTATTGTGGTCTTTTTATTGTTTCACTAGTTGCGATTTTGATTGTAGGAACAACTTGATATTTTTTTCTAGTAAATTATTTTGGCATGTTGTCATAGTTTGCAAGTGATTTATCACTTGTATGCTAAATTTCATCATCACTGCGTATTTAAAATTAGAACTTTGTGTGAAAACCTAGAGCTTTTGGTACGTAAAATTCCAACAAAATCAATACAAAAGACTTGATTGAACAAGCTAAAAATTGCTTAGGCTTCAAATAGAAATACTAAAAAAAATAATAAAATAGTCAGCAAGTATAAGTGAAGAATTTCTGTCCGGTTCGTTTGGTTGAATTTTACGATGGAGCTTGATTTTTTCTAAAGATCTCAATCAAGCATGTTAACAAGCCTTAATTTACATATCATGCCTTAATTTACACCCTCTGTATAGTACTAAAGTTAGGTGTGGTGAGTGCTCCCTTTTTTTGTGTGTTGTTCAGTGTTTGATTTTAAATCATTTACTACACCTTCTAAATTAATTCTTTTACACATTTTCCCAAATTATACTTAGTTGTTATCAGTTGAAGCAATTTCTCATATTCATCATGATGAGCTGGCTAGAATTCATCATGTGACGCACTTATCATCACGTAGAGTTAGGTTATAACTGAGGATACTCTCCTAAAGAAGATAACCCCGCCTCAGATATTTATGTATATGATAGACAGAACAAGACTCCAGCTCAGCTTACTTACCAGCTCCTGGAAGAATCGTTGATTTCCATTTCAGACAGCCAATTAGATTTCTAACAAGAGATCACAAAATCCAAAGGAAAACAATAACTCTTCTCATATGCATTTCACCTTACTTGCAATCGCACATAAAGGATAGGCCGATCAATCCAACAACAGGCTAAAAAACCATAGCATAGCATATACAATTCAGACAAAAAAAAGAAAAAAAAAAAAACCACCCCATACCATAGTTCTCTCCTACGTGCTCTGGACATAAGGATAAACATCCAAAGAACATACTTCGTCACGGATGCCAAGATCCTTCAACTCCTTGGTATGACAATCGTAAAGCAGTAAAGAACCATTGGAGTCCTGAAGCAGAGCTTTATCATTCTTGTAGAGGCCCAATACACTTTTAACAAAAGCATCATCATCGTCATCAAGAGGAGGTACATCGTATGTGGAATGGAGAGACCACTTGTTATCCTTCTCGTTCCATACCCAAATCTCGAAACTAAAACGCTTATTATTTTCAACAAGAGGCTTATTTTTTTCAACAAGAGGATTATCAAGAATTTCATAACCACAATTAACAAAAGGATTATCATGAATATCATAGACACAAGCGGCGAGCAACCCACGAAACTCGACAATGTAAAATCCAAAATGCTTATCGAGTATATTGCTCCCAGGGATAGGGCTCTCGGGGATAGGGATGATCGGTTGGAAGTTCTCATTAGCAAAATCGAACGAAACAACAGCTGAACCTGATGGGGTCGGGGCCTGCCCCTCAGCTATCCAATAGGAAATGCCATTTACGTTAACCACAGGACTAGCATAGGGCCAAATGAAGGGATCATAAGTACTATAAGGGATTTCCTTCCAATAACCAGCTTTGAGCGAGAATAACTCAGCGTGGTATTTGTTATACTCAATCGGGTCATCCAGCTCGCCATATCGGACCACCTTATAGTCCTCAGATGAAGGATCAAACCACATTCCGTAACAAGTCCAAATGGGCACTAACCATTGTCCATCATTCATGAGCGGCGGCCAAGCAAAGAAAGGAAGGGGTCTCACCTCGTAGGTCGTAGGGTTCCACAGGAGCTCATATGGAAATCCAGGAAACTTGTTACATTTCAACAGCATCCACTTGTGGCAACTCCCTAGGAAACCATACTCGAGATTTCGATGCTTGTGATTGTAGTTTGCAGTTCTGAGGATAGAGAAGTTTGGGGGGTTTTCGTGTACTACTTCGAACGAGTCGCCTTCGGTTGAGATTAGGGCGTAATCGCGGGTTCCGTTGCGTACATGCTCCACCGCGAGCATGAGACTGTTGCTGCTGCTGATGTCGGCGCCGCCGGGCTGCAGATCGGGCGGATGCCACCACGATTGTGCCATGGCAGTACCGCCGGAGGCCGGAACATCGGGGACAATCGAAGACGAGTAACTTGCGGAGAGGAATCTTTTCAATTTGTATTTGGCGTTTGCCGCAAGATTTGTGGTGATTTTGGGGATTCCCATGGCGGAACGGAAGAACATCGACCAGCCGCACAGGCGCACACCCCTGTTTGTAAAACTCACCCAACTATATATATTTTTCTAAAAGGGAAACAAATTGTTTTAGTACCCCACATCTTACCTGCTTTTTCACATTTGGTACCTCAATTTTCCACTTAATCAATCTACAAATAGTATTTTCATATTTTGAATTCATCGGTATAGTGGTTGAATTTTGATGACATTTGAACGAACTTCAAGAAGCAATATTCTAGAAGATTTAGTCATTTGACTGATCGAGTCTGTAATTAACTCTTTGAGATTTATTAATGCAAAGTTCGTTTATGGAAAAAAAAAAAAAAGATTATTAATTTAAGTTTTCTAAGATTTTTTAGATTTTAGAAATTCTTTTGTATTTTGATACGCAAAATTTTTGAATCGGGTTAAACCGACACCATCATGAACGGTCTTTTGTATCGAACTTCGTGGACCTGCAATATTCCCAGTTATTCCTTCTTGTCCACTAAGGTTCTTAGGTTGTCTAAACAACCTTGCAACCTGTCTATCTAGGTCATAACCACGACTTTCACCTTCATGACTCTGCGGTCATAAGGTCCCTTCATCCAACCGACCTCCTTATAGGTCCCGACCTCCATAACCTCTAATCAGGTCGACTACCTCAAATCAGATCGACTCATTCTCTGAGCTACATAAGCGAGCTATCTGACAAGGTCGAGTACTGAAATAGAATTGATGGGGCAATTTTTTATAGGGACATTTTTTGGGGTGTTAAAGCAATTAAAAAGTAATAAAGTACCGGAAAGACTATTCAAGTAATACTAAATTACAGTTTTGCTATGGAATCATCGAATAGCTCGGCTTATGGAGTCATCCACACTTATTCACCAATAGTATATTGACACGTGTCCTGCAATAAATAAACTTTGGACATGTGTCAATACATTAAGTGGTGGATGGCTCCATAGAATAATTATACTAAATTAATTTCGAAAAAGGTTTGTGTTTTAAAGCTCTACACAAACCAGCAACATAAAATACATGATCTGCCTCACAAGTAGTAATATTAGTAATCTTGCATTAAAGGTACAGACCAAATGATGATGTACTCTAATCATAATTACATCAAACACAATACATTAGCTTGCCTACACATATATAAAGACAAATTCGAAACACAATTTTTCTTGCCTACTATAACTTGAAACAGAAGGATCCTAATATTACAAACATAAAACTTGGAAGAAATTGTTCAGAAATTAAGAGTCCCTACAGAAGCTATGCCGGCATTCATATTCCTCGGTTCTTGGCGGTTTGGGTAGCCCTCACAACCGACATTTTGGTGAAGAGGAACATTGTTAAGAAGCTCGAGCCCCTGTTTTCGCATTTCTTGAACCTCTTCTGGTGAAAGTATCTTGATACAATACACACTGTTTACAAATTCCCTGAATGATTATGACAAACAAAAGGTTAAACATGCATATAAGGTTAAACATGTAATTTGCCATTGCTTTTGCTTCATTATGATTATAAGATAAAATGGCGAAAGCTTACGGCCAGGGATCGTCACCGAGAAGGAGCACGTCATTTTCACGATCTACAAATACAAGCTGCCAGCCTGATCTTAAAGAATCTTCCAATTGGGCCTTGAGCCCAAACATCCGCGCGAGTTCCATACGCAGCTCATTATAGCTGCTGAACTTTGTTATATCGAGTGACCTTCCAAACGATCCCGACTTGTAAACCTTGTAAAAAAGGTAAATTATTTAGATCAAAAATGTAACCTGAAAGGTATATGGCAGTATTTTTTAACATAGTTTTGAGCTTTGTTTTTCATTACTATGGTTAGAAAAAAATTAAGTCACCTCAAATTGTTCTAACTTTACCTTCACAAATGCTCTATTGGTTGGATTAGCAAGCTCCCCATTATCAGTAGACAACACAAAACCCGAATCCTCCACACAATTGTTTGTGTTTAAAGTAGGATTGAATGAGTAATCGGCAACCGAGCTCGATGAGGCAAAACCCATATTCGCAGTCTCACTTTCTCCAACTCCTTTAAGGCCCGACAAGCCAAAAAGAAATTGATTTTGTGGGTCATTACTGCCAGGAAATGGAGGCAGAGACACGGAGTTATGGGCCACGTTCGCGCTCAGTAGGCCCAACTGCTCGACCTGGACCGAACTCGAATTCGAATTTGAATCCGTAAAAGGAAGTGGGTCAAGCGCCACACGCTTCGCGGGCCAAGCACCGTCTTCTTGGCGGGCCGGCCCGAATGGCCCGTGCAGAGGAGAACTAATGTGCATGCTTGTCTGGGCTTGGGAGAATACGGGCCCACCCGATGAGGCCCGTTCATGATGGAGACCGTTTTGCATTTGGGTGTTGTCATTATTGTCGAACGAACTCTGATGGAGCATTTGTTGCTGCTGAAAAAGAGCGTTGTGCATGAGATTTTGAGGGTGTTGTTGTTGTTGCTGTGGTACCTGGGCCTGTGTTGTCAGGCCCATGGGCCGGTTGCCGAAAAGCAGCTGGGACTGTTTGGATGGGTCGGCCCATCTCGTTTCCTGAAAAGTAGTATCATTATTCTGCATGCCGAGAATTGTTGATGGGTCGAACCTCGACTGCAGTTGCATCCAAGGGGAGGTGGGCCCCACTCCTTGGTAGTTGAGAGATTGGGTCCCGAGGTCCCGGGCATTCCCACAGAAGAACATGAAAGGAGAGTTCATTGCCAGGTCATCGGCCTTCAATCCTAGGNGAGAAAGAAATAAGTTCAAAATGTTGTTTGCCACAAGCTATAGCTTATAGCTTATTTGGTTAGATTATAAGTTTCATGTATTCAAATAAACTTAAGTTTGGTAGGACGAGCTCGAGCTTATCTCATAAGCTTTCTTGTGTAGCTTTTCAAATAAGCTCTTTGAATTTATTTCAAATAAGCTACATTTTCAATCGTAAGCCATAAGCTTATTAGGTTTACCAAACATAGCCTATGAATCACATCAATAATACAGAGATTTGTACCGGGGAAGGAGGGAAGACCAGGTGGCCATGGACGTTTGAGTCGCAGAGCAAAAGTTGATGGATACATTGGGAAAGTTGTCAAAGGCTCAACTTCCCAAAGAGAAACTCTCGGCTGCTTCTCGCCAGCTGTAGACTCATCCCACCCAACCTTCACCCAAAACATATTCGGTTTTTTATATACATAACTTGAAAAAAACAAAAACAAAAACAAAAACAAAAAAGACAAAAACAAAAAAAAAAAAAAAAAAAGAAATCCAAAAATTGCAAAGATGTTTACCTTAACCGAGCGCCAATGTGAGTTCGGCCACCTCGTAGAATCCAAGTCACTTACGCCAGTTATCGTGCCCATGTAGCTGAAAACCGATTATGTTTCACAACACATTAATCAACATAGGTAGATAACGAATTCGAACTCGGAAATTTTGCATATTAAGAAATGAAAAAACACTTACCGACGGACACTAGAATCTTCTGTCTCGAACATCATCCTGAAACGCATGCCCACAGAAACTCGAGTGTGATACACTGCTTTCACGTATTTGGCGAGAGGTATCACAAATTCAGAAGGACTTGCCCTGAAATGTATAAGAAGAATAGTAATAAAGAAAAGAGGTTAAAATATTGTGAAAACTAATTAATCAAGGCATTGATTATATTATAGAGAAAAGAATCATTAAGTAACTAAACCTCGGATTATAAAATATTGTGAAACGGCTACTCGTGGAGGCCGCATGAGCAGCAGCAGCAAGAAGCCCCAAATGCATACTATCGCTCGATAAAACAGACGAGGGCATCACGGTTTGTGGCCTGTTTGCACGCCGTATACCGAGAAGCAATTGGTTCTTCTCATTCCTGATTAATTCAAAAGAAAAAAAGAAAAAAAATTAAAAAAAAAAAAAACAAAGAATTATAGTCACTGTGCACTGTATGATTGTATCTCTCCCTTTTTCTTTTTGCATTTTGTTTTATTTTTCGTTTTGGTTAATTCGGTAGGTAACTTTTCTATTTTGGTTTTTCATTTTTCTATATATATAAAAAAAACAAAAAAAAAAAAAAAAATCACCCCGAAAAATATGTCTGAATTTCCACTCGTTGTTGTGGAGATCTCGAGCAATCAATTCCTGTGCTGGAGGCTGCTGGGAGAAGTCCTGTGGATTTTTAACAAAAAATGGTTACCGAATAACCAATACATTTTAAAAATATTAATTCGCAAAAGCTAATGAATTATTATTATTAATTTATTTTTTTTTGGGTACCAATGGAGGAAAAACTTTTTCGGCCGAACGGCGTGGGACTGAAAATCCGCCATGTGTACTCGTGTCACTTGCCGTCAATGTTTTGCAGAAGTAGTTTGTAGGCTGTTTGCTAGCGGCACCTAAATCCGCTGGGTGGAAAGAAACCTCGTTTTGTTCTTGCTGCAAGAATTAAATTAAATTAAATTACATTAAATAAAACGAAAAAACGAAAAAACGAAAAAAGAAAAAAAGAACATATAGATAAAGATAAAAAGGAAAGGTTGTAAGAACAACATACTGGGCTCAATGGTTGCAAGGTCAATTGAGCATAAACCTCATCTGTTTCTATGTCAGCCTAGTTTTAAGACAAAAACACAATCAGTTTTTTCTTAACAAGGCTGCAAGAAAAAAAAAAGTAGGAAAATGGGAAAATTTTACAAGAATGCTAATTTACATGCATGGTCACATTATGAAGCTGGCAAATGAGCTGTGGGGGTAAGCTCGGGTAATTTGGTATTTGAGCATCGACTTCCTTGTTCGTCGATACAGAAACCTTTGACGGTAACAAAAAAAAAAAAATAGATTTTTAGAAAGGAAACTTGATTTTGGTTCCTAGCTAGAAGCTGAGATGAGAATCATTTTATTTTTTATTTTTTCATTTTTGGAGGCAGTAAAATTAAAATAAACCTGTTCACTATGACCCTGAGGAAAATACACCACATGAGTGCCAATAGAAGGCAGAGAAACAAGAGGACCAGCACAGGCATGCCAAAGTTCGGAATTTAAGCAGTTCTTATCTTCTGCAAAAACAATTTCCACAAGATTTATTTATTATCAGCTCATAAATTAAAAACACACATGTAAGGACACGATAAACGGCTTCTCTTTTCTGTTTCCTTGTTTTTGTATTCTATTGATAATTTTGTCAAACTACTATGAATAATGTATGGAAAGAAGGGAGAGGGAGAATAAAAACAAGAATTACCTTTTCATAAAGATTACTTTAAATGAACAAAAAAGAAAGAATAATCTTCAAAAAGGAGGAGAAAATTAAAAAAAAAAAATGATTAAAATTGTAGAAATTGAAGCCAGATTCAGGTTCGGGGAGGCTTCAACTAAGGAATGAAGAGATTTAGTGAAGAATTTAACTTGAAAAGCCAAAGCACACATGAAGATGCATGGTAAGCACTATAGAAAGGAAAAATAAAAAATAAATATAAAAAAGAAAAGGCAAAAGAAAAGAAAGTATACCTTTAGGAGACTGCTGATTTAAGCTAGCTGAGAGTTTCATTTTGCAGATTCAGAAAGACTGGACCAGCAAAAGAATACCAATAGCTACAAAATATCCAAAACAATAAAATATAAAAAATCTCACAATTTATTGTTCCCAATTTTTCTTGTACGAAAAAAAAAAAAGACATGTAAAATAATTAAATAATGTATTAGCTTCTGTACCTCTGTCTCACCCACAACCTGCACTTTATCCTCTGAATAATTCAACTAAATCCAACCCATTAAAGTGACTTTATCAACTAACTTCCCCTTCACTCATCAACGAAGAACCAGCTCTATATGACACTCAACCAAAATACAAAAACAAAAGCAGATAATAAAGCCTTCACATCAAAACAGATGCACAAAACTCAAACTCCATTCAATTCTTTTTTTCAACCAAAGCCAATTCCACTATAAATACTTGAATAAATCATCATCAGTTCTTGATTTTCTTCACTAGACACCCCAGAAAAAAACAAAAAAATAAAAAGAAAAAGAAATTCGCAGCCAAGAAACTCAGAGGAAAACCCACCAACAAAACAATCACATTATCCAGCAAACCCCCACAAAGATACAATCTTTAGCAGCCAATTAAACTCCAAACTTAACCAAACAAACCAAAAAAATCCTTCAATAAAACCCCAATAAGCAAAATTTTTCCTAGCTCACTTTCAGATCTCAATATTATTTCCCAAACATCAGGAATGAAATAGTGCTTCAAAATGCAATATCGCTACCAAACCCGCTTTCATTTTTCCTCGTACAGACGAATTCAACCACTTGAACCCAAATGGTCTTTAGTTCCAAGAACGGATTTTTTTTTTTGCACAAGACAGTAAAATCAAATTCATTAATGCACGCGCGTGCGCTTACTGAGCACAGGTACAAACACTCATATATGTATTCAAATATAAATAAATAAATAAATAAATATTGATAGTGAAAATGGTAAGTACTGAAGCTTCTCACTTCATAGCAGTGAGCAAATATTTAAACAATCCGTATTTTCAGTACCCTTTTTCTTCTTAGCTCTATAGACTATATTCAGTCAATATCAATATAAGTAAAATGCAGCTTTGTTTTCCATTTTATCAGATGTCATTTTTTCAATTTATTTAAAGGCATGGCAGAGGAGAAAAAGTGAGTCATTTNGGGAGGATGTGGTGGGAGCAGTGGACCACGGCAATAATTAGACATTTTTAGGCTTCAAACTACTAAAATACCCTTTTCACCGTTTTACTATGTGCTTTGTTTCAAGATCACCGAATAATCAGACAATTTAATCTGATTTATTTTCTAATAACAAAAATAGGTTAAAATAACTTTATTTTAAAAATGTTAGATAGAGAATTTAACGCTATGTGTGAACTTAAATGCATGTAAATTTATTTAAAACTATTTTTAAAAAAATGTAAATACAAACTTGGTCCACGCTACTCTACATTAACACACAGTCAGTTTCAGGCTTTCAGTGAAAATTGATTCTGACACAAAAACAAGAGGACTAATAAATGCCAAACGAGGTGGGCCTTCTTGGACTAAGACTAGCAGTTGGGTCTTTTTGCATGAAAATTTGCTGGATCACTGTCATTTATGGGCCACTGCCAGCCCAACAAGGAATTATTATTAATAGTGCCTTTTTATTAACCTTTTTTTGCTTGGTTCATAGTTCATATCATAGCTTTCATTTGTTTTCCTTCTTTTTCTACAATTAGTATTTTGGCAAGAGCCTGAGCAACGGGCAGCATCTTACAATATTACATTTAGTTCAAATCATTGAATGTGAACTTTATAAGTATAATCCATTGAAATTCTCTTATTGCCACATTTAATTGTCGGAATAACAGGTTCATTTTCTAGTTCAAGCAATAACATAATGGTATATGATCATAGTTTTATTAGTTGAAGTTCTTTTATGGTCACATTTTGACATGTAACTTAAATAATTTAAATATCTCACTTTACACCATAATATAAGTAAAAGCAATATATTCTTAATATAAATATGTATTTTTGTTAAAAATAAATATGATTGGTCTATCCATCTAAATATTAAGGTGCTTAACAAGTCAACCCGTTATATTATTTAGCAAAAAATACATATTTATTTTAGAAAATATCATGTTTCTATTTATGTTGTTTTTTAAAATACGAATTAACAAATTTGAAAGCATGATAATCCCTCTATATATATTAATTTAAAACGTATTGAGCCTAAGTGGCAACTTCACACGTTTCGGATGCTGAATGGCAAAAATTTACGTTTCGGAATGTTGTTTGCATATTAATTTTTTGCTTTGGAATCATACGTGGTATGGACATAAGTAATTCTTTTTTCAAACTTGGTAAGTGTACATTTAATTTTGTTATTTTTTTTCTCTTAGTACAAACTTCCTTTTTAATTTGGGCAAGTAGCAATCATATCCTATTATAATTTTTTCTCATATTTCTTCTTAAATTATGATTTACAAATCACTTTCTGCATTGTATATTCCTCTTTTTTTTTCATTAGTTAATCCATCAAAATTTTTAAATAAAATTTTATTTAGTAATAACTTTCATAATCTCATCACCCGTGTAGTACACAGGTATTATATTTATAGGTAATATAGGTAAAAGATGGGGATAGGGTTTTTCTCATCTCAGTATAAATGATACACGTGCACTGTTTGGAGGGAAAATTTCATTTCCATTGACAAATTCATTTGTGAATGGTGAGCCTACCAAATTGAAGGTCCTTTAAGTATCAATATACGGCTCATAATTGGCGAACCCCACAATATTTCTTTTCATTTTAAATTATATTTTTTAAAGTATAGGTCCATCAGAATAAAATAGAAATTTGAATAACTAAGCCAGGACACATATATTAAAAGTTTAATTATTATTTTTAGTGATTATACGGTCCAAATATGCGTATCAGCGTAGAGCATATCAACTACAATTTTTTAACAAATATGTGTAATACAAGTAGTATATTTTAAAAAATAACAAAAATAAAATATTTTGTTCAAAAAGAATTATAGATCAACTTGTTTACTCGTTGGATTATCTCACAAAATAATTTGTATTTTATTTAAGTACTTTTTGATTAAACTCGAATTATTGTTTAGTTTGATTTTTTAAAAAAATATATATGTGTGCTATGAATTATCATGATTTTATTGTTTTATATATTGGAATATTGCATTTTAATTTCTCATATTTTATATAATTAGGTTCAGATAAATATTTGTTAGATATATACATTATTAGGTAAATTTCTACTTCGGATATCTGCTTTCAGGTTTTAGTTAAATTTAATATGACTAGTAATTAAATCATGGAAGTTGACACAAAAACTATATTTACTAGTTCACTCAGCGCAAAAACGATACAAATGAAGAAAATGATTCTAGGAGTAAACTATTTATAATCAAATATCCATGCTTATATAATACATCTTTTAAGGAGATAAGTAAAAAAATATAAATTAAAATATAACATTTCATAATTGAGAATTCTATTTATGTTTAAAATTATAAGGACTAATACATCTTCTAATGAGATAACTAAAAAAATATGAATTAAAATATCTCGAAAATTCTATTTATATTTAAAGTTATAACGACTGTGTAATTGTTAGCCATCTCACAACAGATCATTTGTGCGGATATAATTTAAAGATTGATCGTGCAAGCAATTGTCGTTATGAATCTAAAAACTACAAGTACAAGAAGAAAGTGTTCGGGTATTTAAACAATTGAAATTAATTTAATTTTGTTTAGTTCATAACTAGTACAAGCCCGTGCATGCACAATTTTAAGGCTATTTATCTAGGTACATGAATAATGAAAAATGTACGGGATATATATAGTACGTGACGCGTGCGAAGCACGAGATATATGTATTTGAAGAATATTATATTATAAGATGCAATATTCAATAAGAGTTTATAATACGCAAGAAAATTGTACAATGTTCAATAAAAGTTTTATAATATTCAAGTGGAGTCTTAAAGTCTCTTGTACATTAAGACTACTGACAAAATAATATTTTAATCAATGAGTTTTCTTTCCTTGTAGCCAAATTGTGAATCTGATGATTTGAGGAGTACAACAAATCGATATATAGTTGACTTGCTTTTTTCATTGTAGTTTTTTTTTCTTTTTTTTTTTATAATGAATTTGAAGATATTCTAAAATATAGCAAAAATAAATTTTTTTATTACAATTAGGAATAAATATAGACTCTCAATCTATGGTGTTAATCAACGTTTATGTCTAAAAAATTAGGAATTTTTACCTCTTTTAATCAACGTTTAAGTCTAAAAAACAATAGAGTTATTATAAGTTTTTTTCTACATCTTTTAAAACATTAAATATGAGCATGTTAGAGCAAGCTTGTAATATAATTAATATATTATCTCACTAAAAAATTTATACTAATAAAAATTTAATTTTAGCATATAAATTTATCCCTTGATATAAGAGAAAGTAACAGTTTTACTTATTGTTGTTCACCATATAATATTTAATTATTATTTTATTATATAATAAAAAAGAAATATTGTTAAATAGTGTAGTAGAATTGTTATAAAATTATATGATTTTTTTTACAATATGGATTTAATATTTTTTTATGATTTGATAATATAAACAAATCTATACTTAACTTTGACAAATAAAATAAATAAATACTTTAGTAAGTATTTAATGTATATACTAAATAGGAATATATTTGGTATAATCAAATACCAAATATAATCAAATAAGTCAAAGTGTACATTTTTATTTGGTATTTGATTTTTTTTGTTATTAAAATATTTTTATTATACTTACCTGTTTAAAATAAAACAAATAAATAAATCAATTAAATAAATAAAATATTATAATACCAAAATAGTAATGACATTTAATGCAGTTGATTTTTTTGGATAATAAATGTAGTAAATAGAATATCCTTTTATATAAGTATATACATGATATTATATTATGTTGCTAAAATAGTAATGCATTTATTGCATTGACTTTTCAACTTACTAAATTTCGTAAATGTTACATCTTATTATATAAGTATAGATACATAGAAGGAAGTTAACTAAATTAAACTAGGACACACGTGCAAGTTGAAGCTCAACAATAAACTATACTAGTAAAGTATAGTTTAAAAGATAGCTACTTGAATGCTTTTATTTTAAATGTTTTTATTTAAAAAAAAAATAGTCATTTTTAATAGAATCATAAAATTTAAAATAAGCATCGATAAAAGTCCACATCGTATCTTACAAAGCATTAACACATGAGAAAAACACAAAAAAAAAATATACATAAAATTTTAGAGCACCAAAATCAACACTATCAATATTATAAACTTACAGTAACACGTGAGAGAGTTGCCACACAATACATACATATACTATACTAGCGGTTTATGACATGCTATTCAAAGATAGCTACTTGAAAAGGTCTTCTTTATTTCATTCCAAATAAAATGCCATTCCCAAATTCTCTCTTTTTTTCTATGGATCTAAAGTCAATCTGAACACAAATTTAGATCTAATATCCATATTCCTACCAATTTTAACTCTAACTTATGACTTATTAGAACAAAATATATTCATTGCCAAAATACTAAAATAAATCGATCGGTTTTACCAGTCTAACTATTAGGCCGACATCCTATTTTCAACAAATATGCACATATGAATGCATTTTTTCACATAATACGACGGATCGACCCATCCACCAGTTAAATCGTATCACACGGGAAT